GTGCGTGTTTATGCGTGGGTGCTTGTGTATGTATGTGTTTGTGTATGTGTGTGTGTTTCTTGTGTAAGCTGAAAGACGGGAAAAATTATTGAAATAGCTAGCACTCCAAGGGTTCAGGGGATCTCGTAGTCGAGCAGTCTCGACTAGAGCTTTCTTACTTGTTTTAAATGTTTGTATTATAGCGCAGATATCGAGTTTACCTCGATGACTCTTCCCGTTATTCATTTATCGATTAAAAACCGTATTTTTGTTATAATTCACCCCCACCCTTATATGAACCTCCTCACCCTTATTTATATTTGTAAAAGGCTTATTTAAAATACTAGAGAATTGTGACTTGGCACATGCACGCATTTTAATATCGGAAAATATATTTTCCGATTTGCCACACCCCTAGTCGGCAGATCGGGAAAATTTTAACATTTTATAAATCGGAGATATATACGAGTATGTGTTCCAAATTTCAAGTCTCTAGCTTCTATAGCGCCGAAATAGACAGCGCCGAACAGACAAACAGACGGACATTGCACAAAACTAATTTACTAATTACTTTCGTGAATGAGTATAATAATTCATTTTCGTAAATGAGTATAATAATTCACTTTCGTGAATAAATATAAAAATCTGTTATTTCCGATACGCCGCACCCCAAGTGGGTGTAGAAGCATAATTTTTGCCAGTTCTTAGACCGAACCAAAGATAACGTAACTGTAAACTTCGGATGCCTGTGCTCGAATAATATGAAAATTGCAGGGTATTTTAATACCCTGAACCCATTTTCAATGGGAAATCCGGTTATAATGGTTTTGTTGAAATGTATGTAAGAGGCAGAAGGAGGCGTGGCAGACCCCACAGAGTATATATATTCTTGATCAGGGTGACGAGCTGAGTCGATTTGGCCCGGTCCGTCTGTCTGTCCGTATGTATCAACGCGTCGGTTTCCGAAGATATAAGAGCTAGAGACTTCAATTTTTTTTAAATGTCCGTGTGTGTGAGTTTGTGTGTCAATCCGAGTATGCATACCAAATTTTACCTTTGTAGCTCTTAAACTAATACGATTTCTGGCTTACCGCAAAATTCATTTTCATTTTCTACCCCTCTTGCGAGCAAATCGGGAACATTTATAAACTCTATAATTCAAGGGTTTACATGAGTATATGTTCCAAATTTCAAGTCTTTAGGACAGACGGGCGGCTGTACAGGCGGACAGCAAGATGGACATCTATTGCGATTGAGCTTCATACCCAATTCTAGGTATCAAAGCTAGCATCCTTGTTTCCCTGTTGAGTCTCAGGATATAATTAATACCGTTTTATCATAAATCGAATACTTATTAATATATATGTACATCTATTCATACCAGTGGCGTGTATGAAGTATGTATCCACGTCAAATAGAAATATACAACACGTGTAAGCAGCTGCTAATCGTACTGCACTTGGGTTTAATATCCTTTAAAGTATTCCAAAACTGCATATACATATATGTGTGTGTGTATGTGTGTATACTTATCTCTAATTCACATTTGGTGTGATTATGCTGAAGTAAAGGTAAATAAAGCATGACAATAATTTAAATGTTGCACGAACGCCGCCCGCACAGGGGGCCAAAAGGGGTTTGTTTACTAAAACAGCGCGATGATTTAATTGCCAGGCCCAGGCGAGTGACGAGTGGCGAGTAGCGAAGCAACAGCCACAACAAAATTACGAAAGGTACAGGTAGCGGCAGCTATACAGGTGCCAAGCAAACGTTAAAGCCAAAGCCAAAGCCAAAGCCGACGCGTGGTCACTCGCGTCCATTTCAAATTACATGGTGTGTATGTGTGGGTGTGCGTGTGCCTGTGAGTAAAAAAATTACCATAAATCTGGAGTATATACATATATACATACATATAATAAAAGTCGCCCTGGTGAACTTGAAGCTCAGTTCGTGTTGAGTTGACGAGGCGCGCGGTCGAGTCCCTACGCGCGCTGCTATTATTTTGAATAATTCGCTTAACGTTCGCTCGTTGGTTAGGCCTTTGGCTAATTCATTTGTGCGTGAGTGCTGTAGCCATGTGGCTGCACCGGTCTAAGCCAGCGACAGTTCAAGTGCTTATAGCTTCGCTTAGCCAGTTGAGGAGCTGTGTCTAGTCATGGTGCGTCGCGCCTCGAGCGTGCCCCATTTGAACAATAGCGGCGGCAGCAGCGCCGACAGCCTTAATAATGCACGCAGCAGAGCTGCGGCTGGGGCGGCTCCTACGGGGCGTGGCAGGCGCGGTAATCCCGCCAGCAAGACAACAACGCCGACGCAACGTCAAAGCTCCAGCAGCAGCAGTGGATCCCGTGTACCGCGCTCTCGCAGCCTGACCAACGGCATGCGGCGCCTAAGTCCGCAAAAGGGCGGCAGCAGCGGGGGAGGCGGAGGCGGAGGCGGAGGCGGGGACGGTGGCAGCACGGGCGGCAGCTCACGAAATACGCCGTACTTTCTGCGCTCCCGTGAAAATGAGTAAGTGTGCCGAAGTGTTTCTGAGTGTGTAAAGGTGTGCGACGCTTCCCACCGTAATCAATACCTTGAAAATGTATCGCAAATAACTACAGTAAAGATTGTCAATGTGTGACTAATATTAAAAATCGGTTCAAGCTCAAATGAACTGCCTCTTATTACACAGAAGTGAAATACTACTGTCAATCTCTAATTATTTTTAATGTCCATTAAAAAATGCTCAGCATTTTATTTATCTAAGTAGAACCACTCACCAGAGAACACATAGACCGGAGAACTACTGTAAAGCGTTTTGCGCACTTTTTTCGGGAGTGTGTGTGTGTGTGTGTGTGTGTGTGTGTGTGTGTGTATGTGTGTGTGTGTGTGTTTACAAATTTATTTCAAAATGTTTTTATACTCAATCTCGAAGTGAATGAGTAAATCGGTTTTGTGCAAGGTCCATTTGACTATCCGTCTGTCTGTCCGTATGACACCAAAACACTTCGCGATACTATTCAAGCAGGAGACTTGAAATTTTGAAAATATGCTCGTCAAACTTGCATGTATTTTGGTTCAACATAATTTTGAAATTGAATAATTTTTCAAAATTCAGCAGTTACTCAACTGTCCCATTTCAGGACTTTACTTCATAATACAATTAATTGACTTTGACGGCGAAATGGCTTGCATTCATGCATACAGACGGCAATGCGAACGCACGGATGGACAGCACAACGGCAAAATTCTTCATAAAAAGAATATAATCTTTCACTTTGAGAACGAATATGACATCTATATAACACGCCTTGTAGACAAAAATTAGACTTGAGTACATTCTTTCATTTAGGGCAATTTGATTTCTAGCCTTTATACATAAATAAATAATTTCTTAATATGCTATTCAATTGGCGCATTAGCTTCAAGCCGTCTATTTTTCGACATTTTTAACTTGGACTTTCTTGCTTGCAAATGCAGAAATTGAAAAACAATCATTAAAATATTTATGGAGTTACTATATCTAGCAAAGTAATTAGTTTTGCCTGGTTATATATTTGCATCAATCCATTTGCCTGCTGGACGTGCGAGTAATAAAACTACTTAATAACCTGACCAAAAGACCAGGTCGGGGCGTGAAGCGGGCGTGGGTTAGCAACCCTGATGAGGTACCATTAAAAATGGAAGGACATAAACAGGGTGGCATAGGCGTAATGACCACGCACAATAAATGGCAGGGACATACATACAGACAGACGGAAGGACATATAGACAGTCGAGACAGACTGACAAGCATTTTGAACATCGAGTTGCTCTCGATTGGTCATGTTTTATATTTAAACAATTAGGGGTCTTAAGTAAGGGAGTAGGAGCAGGCACGACATGAATCGATTTTGTAATCAAATCGACAAGTCGAGTCCTGCGAGTTCTGTTGTGTCCCGTCTGACCCGTTTCGAAAGCGAAAGTGACATATTTATGTTTGGATAGGAATTGTCGACTTATTGCTATAGTCACTCCCAACATCTTGCTTTATATATTTATAGTATATATTAGATAGTTTGGTTGTAGCAAAGTCAGTCATATTGAAGGTTAAGGACCTGACAGTTCTTTAGCTTCAGCTGGCTAACGCTTCGGCAATGGCCAGAATGTGTGCTAAAAGGTAATTTAACTGGTTTGTCTTAGATCATTTAAGGTATCTATACATAAACGAGACTCCATCAATATTTTTTGTTGTATCCGTTAAGTTCCTGACTATGGATTGTAATGAATATAATTATTTTCACACAACTCGCATTTATTCGAACTTCGAAGTAATTAATGAAAGCAGAGTGGGAAGTTAAGAGAAATATTTATCTGCCATTTACAGAAAGTCCATTTACCCACTAGCTCTGTACTAACACTCCAGAATATATAATACTCACATCTTCTTCTTTCTCACATCTCATCACATCAATAAAATGATCAATAATAATTATAATAATACGAATCCTCTAATCAAGACTGCTCGACTACTAAGGAGTCCCCTGAAGTATCCTTCTTTTCTGCACTCACAATAAACAAAACATGCACACACACATACATGCATGCGCTGCAGTGTGGGCTTACTGTAGAAGTTTAATTTGCAAAAGTGAAGTGAGTATATTGGTTTCATGCAATGTCCGCCTTGTGGTTCGCCTGTCTGTCCGTATGAATGTAATTGTTTCAACTTTAAACAAATTTTCCGATATATATATTATATATAAAGCATTTTCCGATATGCCAGAAATCATATTTGTCGACGAGCTAGAAAGGCTACGTAACACCTCGGTCCTCGGCCGACGATCGTGTAGCAAACAGCAAATGCTTATGTATATATCCTCCAGTTTAAGAGCCATAAGCTTCAAATTTAGATAGTTACTGATAACTTGCAATAGCGATGATCCAAAAATAATTGTTAGGCTCCTATGTGGCGTGGCATATATACATAGTTACATTACGCATGTTTATAGTTAGTTATATACTTAGCGSCAATATTGATATTAGCATCTTACATTGAATTGGTATATTT